GAGGTCTTGATCCTCGTCTTTGACATAGTCAATCCATCTGTCGGTCATCTCCGGCTCTCTTGGCACTCGCGCAATCTCATACCATGTGTCGTTGCAGTAGGTTATGCGCCCAACGTGGTCAGCAATGAAGAGACCTGCAGGAGACAATTCAGCCATCCGCGTAAATCTCGTCTCGCTTTCCCTGGCTTCTTGTGTACGTGCAGCGAGCTGTGTAGAGAGGTTGTAACGGTCTTCCGCTGCGAGCCGGGCTGCCCTCTGCCCCCTTCGGATTTCTTCCTCGAACAAAACGACGGAAGCGAGAGAGGTGGCGAGTTGGCGACTCAATAGCTGGATGAAGAGGTTGTAATCGTCATCGTAAGGCCTTCGCGGGTTTATGCCCATGACTAAGAAGCCAAGTATGTTTTCACCAGTCGTAGGATGGATCGGGCAGATGACCACGTCGCGGCAGGGATCTCCAAAACCTCGCCATTCGAGTCCGTCCATCATGGAATGTGGCAGGTCGGCTGATCCGATGCTAACAACCACGGGCTTGTCGGTCTTCATTACTTCGCGGAAAACCGGCCCGAATCCTTCTTGCCCTTCTTTCAAATCAATGTGGTCAGGGGCAGCTTGATGGCCGGCTGGCACACCAAGCGAGCCCTCGAGGAAACACTGTTTCGAGCCAAGCAAGCTGCTAGATTGCAAGGAAGACGAGTCACTATCATTCTCATCGTTTACGCTGTAGAGCATTACTACCGGGGTATCGAACTCGTTCTCGGTGAGTGCTATTAGCACTTGATCCCAGAAACCCTTTACTTCCCGAGCGGTGGCGGTCCGTTCGCCGACTTCGCGGAGAGTGAGCATTCGCCTTTCCGCAATCTTCCGCCGTGTCTTTTCGAAAGCTGGGTTGTAAAGACCCATGACCGTGCCGTCTTCGCCGACCATTGGGATGATGGACCACGAGAAGTACGTTTCCTCAAGGAAGCCGCTGCGTTTCATAAACAAGCAGTCGTCGTCCTTCATAGTCGCTTGCCCTGTGAGACGGGCGTTTGCGAATACTCCCTTGACCTCATCCCAGATTTCTGCCCAAGCTACTTTGTAACTCTGGCCCATGAGCGCAGGATGCTTCTGCCCTGCAAGCCCTGATCGAGATGTTAATCGATGTCTGAATGCCAGTACGCTAGTACTTACCAATATAGGCTTCGTTGTAGATAGCCACCAGCTCTTCACCCCAGTACATAGCTGCAGGATGGGGACTCGCCCTGATGGCCATTAGAATCGAAGTTCAAGTGTTACGCGCCATAGCAGTCAACTCACATGATGAGATTGCACATTGCACGAAGGTCGTTGGACCAGTATTCGATGGGACCCAAGGGTGTAGATGCCCAATCGATTGAGCGGGCAAATTGTATGTGTCGAGGAAGAGAGGGCGATATGGCTAGTCTGGTCCAGTCGAAGAAACCCATGTCGTGGTGCTCATTTCGGTGGGTGTTAGTTTCTCTATGAAACGGGTCAACGTCGCCTGCAGTGTGAGCTCGCAATACGCACTCGTTCCCAAAGGAAGAGGAATCTTCCGCTGCGGATAGGTCGATCTGAGATAGCCTAGGAATCATGCTATTGCCTCTGTCGGCGAACTTCTTGTAGTTTGGTTCAGGCTGGGGCGCGGAGATGGGAGGCGTCGGTTCTCCCTGGGGGATCGTAGGGATGGTGCTCCCGAAGTAATCCTGCGGTTCGCCTTGTTGCGTTGAGGGTACGGAGGCATCCCCGTTGGCTCCAGACTCGAGGCCTGCGGACGAGGTTGAAGGTATAGCGAAATCGTTGGGGCCGTCTACAGCGGGCAGAACTATGGCAGGGGCGGACACGGTACCAGAAACGACGCGCAACCGTTTCCGCAAGGTGTAGCAAGTCCATACAATGCCACCGTGTTCTACCGGGGAAGGATTCGCCCCAGAACCATCTCCCTGGACTGCACTGCTCAACAGCCATCCTCGAAATTGTTGTGTTGCGTGCGCCGTGTCATGGTCGGAGAGAGTGCCCGCAGGCTTGCCAGCTACCAGCTCCCAGGTGGAGGAGTCTAGTCGAAGGGCACTGTTGGAGAAGAGTATCTGCAAGCTGGACGAATCGGGAATGTAGTTTGCAAAGTCGCCCGTGTCGACGATGAAGGTGGGCCGCTCATCCTGCTCGAGCAGCTCGACTATGCCGATGGATCCCAGTACGCGCAACGGATCATGCTTGTCGCGCGAATCAGGCGATGCTGCGGGGGGCAGGCTTGAGCGCTCTGAAGTGCGCCCGCTGGCAGCGCCCGAGGGGCCTGGGGGACTGAGGCCGCTGAAGGTGCCCCGTGCGAGTGTGACGGTCTTGATGCCACTGTCCTCGCGTGTCTTGCTCAGCATCCTGTAGGCCTCGGAGGTGGAGAAGCGTGCGGGCAGCTGCGGGCGGATATTGCGCGACGAGGAGAAGAACAGCGGCGAGGGTGGCTGGCCGTCGAGACGGAACTGGGCGCTCTTGGAGAAGCCGAAGTGGTCGAGCGAGTGTCGGGAGCGTGGGTGCGCTTTTCGGCGCTTATGCAGCGGCTCGCTGGCGGGTGCTCGTAGGTGCGGCGATGTAGGCGCGAGGGCGTCGTCGGTGGAGGGAGGAGCAGGGCGCTTTATGCCAATGACCTGGCGAGCGCCGTGCGCAGAAGCCGGCGGCGGAGTGCAATGGCGACGGTCAAGCGGCGAATTTGGCGTCCATGGAGGCTGCAATATGGCCAAATTGGATGTTTCGTCGAGGGCGCTGGGCGGGTCCGGGGTCGTGGGTGACGTAATTGGAGGCTCGTGATACAGGGCAAACTTCAGCCTGCGCTGCTCGGGCGTGGTGTCGTGATCGTGAGGCGTCGCCGTGTCAATACCTGTGAAGATGGACCGCGGCTCCCTCATAGAAATGCTGGGATGCGAGGCGACAGGCAGGGCGAAAGCCGTTGATGGCGGCCGCACGTCACGCTGCAACGTCAAAGGTCGGTGTGGTGGAGCGTCGTCTCGAGATCTAGCATGCAGTCTCACCGCGTAGGGGCCGAGTCGATGACACCAGGGAACGACGGACGCTCAAGGGCGGCTTCTGCGATGGCGAGGCTGGGCGGGTCGGTGTGCAGCTGCGCGGCGACGGTAGCGATGACGGTGGGATGCGGTGGGTGTCGTGTCCTCAGGGCATCATCGTGATGGCGACAGTCGCTCTGCACATTTGTTTTCAGCCGTCGCTCTGGTGCAGCCAGCGTACAGGACCTCGGGAGCGTCCAGAGCTGTAGATCTCGCTTGCGCGCGTGCTTGGCCCTCCCTGCAACACCCTGGCCAGTCCATCGCCATCGAGATCGCTCTCACCATCCTCTCGTGCCTAGCTTCACATTCGACACGCCCTGGACAGCTATGACGCCGTGCATGGCATTCTGACATGCCCATCTGTGCCATCTGCAGCAGCTGGAATGCTGTGGCCCGTCAGTGCACCGCTGCTTTCGCGACTGTGCTGGTCCCCACGTCATGCATCTGACGGGTCTAGACTCGAGCCTCAGACCCGCACCCATCCATGGATTCAACACATGACCCTCTGCATCGTCGCAACCTTGAACCTAAACTTCGAGAAGCCCAAGATTTTGGAATCGTCGACTTGGTTTCTTCTAGCTTATAATTCTCTTCCAGGCACACACTAATAGATGCTTCTTTCCGCCGTGTGCTGATCTGTATTGGTCGCCCCTTTCTTGCGACGGTACCTCCATCCAGTCCACATTACGCGAATACCGCCAAGCCTTCCCTACTCTTTCCCACTTGCTACCTGTCTCATCGTCAACCGCGCGAGACGTGATAATCGCACAGGAGAACTTCTCGGTGGATTCTCGGCACCCCCCAACCATGGGTGAGCTTGTTGTGCCATTCCCACGTGCGCGCACCGTTCCGCGTTCGGGCCCGGGCCGACCTGATGTTTTCGAGTTATAGTCACGTGATCGTCTGTCATCCTCTCCAACCGTGGCCGCACCCATACGACCCGTCACTGTACCTGCCATATCAGCTACGCAAACTGTATCATCAAGGTTTGAAGTAACTGCGCATACAGTCTATCTTTTTCGTCATCGGACTTGTCTCGTACTCATTCGAAGCATTCCGTTGGCACCGAAAAGCCTCGCCATTATCGCCTGCCACCATCCGCGTGTACGTTGACAAATTGAAAACATGCGCGGCGGTGCAACATGGTTGAGGTCATTGCATCTCCGAGTGACATCATGCAGCATGCGACACTTCGTGTTTGCAGATATCGTGGCACGATGGGGGCACAAGTCGTCTCGGCTGCAACTGCCTCGAAATTTAGCCACCGTGGCAGGGCATTAATGGCGCATGCGTCGCCAATCCCAGCCACACCACGCTGTGCCATCCACGCCCGTCAATAACGATCCCTTGCTTCCATACTTGAGCAGAAATTTTGCACTTTTGACATTGAGTACTGCAATCAGATCAGAAAAGAAAGAACTGGAACACCGAGATCAATCAAAACTGTCCTCGACTGGTCGTCGCACGAGGTCAATAAGCACATCTCCACGACCCGACACTGAACGCGCAGCGAAGCGGCCCTCATATATCCACGCCAAGCTTCACTAATAGAACTCTTGCAAACCATGGAGCTCCGGCTAGCCGCCAGACGTATCAGGCCGGTTCATCACCCCACTTTTCCTGCCCGCCTGTCAGTAGAGTGGTCAGCTTCGACATGCCCCTCCACTCGAAGCCGTGCTGCTTCCCCTCATGCCATCTCCATCTGGCCAAGCATGTACAGCATGAGTGATTTGCTCAAAGACAACTGGGGCAATGCGCTCCGGGGCTGCTGTGAGATGCCCCGCTGGCAACGGACTGTGCACAGATCGATTTGCTTAAAGTCCTGTCGCGCCCCGCGCATACTATCAGCTCCATACCTCCTTCTCTCTGTGCTTCCTGCTACCCCACTTATTGATTTCTTAAAGATACTCACCAGAAAAATACACAATTGCCAGGTAACAAACCATCATGGATTTCCTCAAGAAGAAGATGAAGGAGCTCATGGATGACGACGACAAGAAGCCAGCCGGTGAGTAACTCTATAACAAACAAAGAGACTAAGTACTTATTTGGATAGACTCTCATGCTGCTCCCGGCGGTGCTGGCCCTGGTGATCGCGCGCTTTCTGATAGTTACTATGGAGGTGGACAAGGCGGCCCTCCCCAAGACCAAGGCTACCCACCCCAGGGTCATGGCTACCCGCCTCAGGGTCCTCCTCAGGGTCAAGGATATTCACCCCAAGGATATCCGCCTCAAGGTCAAGGTTACCCACCTCAGGGCTATCCACAACAGCAGCCTTATGGCGGCGCCCCCACACCCACAGGTCCACCAGCGCCGTATGGAGCGCCTCCGCCGATGCCACCGGGCTGGACTCAGCAATGGGATCAGAACAGCCAGCGATGGTTCTACATTGAGCAAGCAACGGGTCGCACGCAATGGGACCCTCCTTCGCATTTGCCACCTGGCCCATATGCACCACCCGGAGCAGGCGCACCTTACATGCCGCCAGCCGGTCATGATGAGCGCGGTCTATTCGGCAACACCCATGGCCACCAGGGACACGACTACACGCAGTCTGGAGCTGCCACGAACGAGGCCGAGAAGAAGAAGGGTCATTCTGGTGCCATGCTCGCCGCCGCTGGTGTTGGAGGTATCGCAGCCGGTGCCTTCATTGGCCATCAACTCGGTATGTTGCTTTCGTGTATACAGCTTGCGACAGCGCGACTAACACATACCAGCCGACGACAGTAGCGACGACGAGAAGCAGCAGTCGTATGCGCCTCCAGCGGCGGCTCCCGCTGCTGCTGCAGGTGGCTACGGTGCTGACCCTGGTTACGGGGCTGATCCCGCCTATGGCGCTCCTCCCCCAGCAGACCCTAATGACTATGATAACCACCCGGCCTTTGAGGAGCCCCCTCCCGTTCCCACCCATGACGCCGACGGTGACTCCATCTCAAGTAGTGACCGTGAGTCCATGGAGGAGAAGCGCGAGGAGCTCATCGAGGCGCAGGAGGAGTATCAGGAGGAACTCGAAGAGAACTACGACGACTAAACGCAGGACTTTCGGTCGTCGGTCGGTCGATCGATCGGTGCGTGGGAAAAGGGAAGAACACGAAAGTAACGACAAGTATTTTCTAAGACTTATGAGCCACGAGTATTGTTAGCATAGTGCAAAGAAGGAAGGATCAGCCAACTTGTGATTCTCTCACTCGGACTCAAAGGAAAACGGTTTCAGATTTGTACAAATTAAGGCAATACAACTTAACTCCATCGTCACTGCAGTGACGAGCCGAGGGCTATTATTCCGTACCTCTCCACTGTTGTGCCCCCATCGAAAACCCATGGATATCCGCGCCCTTACAACCAGAGAACGTAGTGAGCGTGTATTCATCCCTTCCCCATATAAACCATCGTGGTCACTGTGTCGCGTGCTGTAGTGAGCGTGGCTAACAGCAGTCGCAGCAGTCCAGGCAATCGAGGCAGCATTCGCATGTCTCACCGCAGAGCCAGCAGCAGCACAAGGTCGCAAGACTAGTCGTCGCATTAGCTCCGTTCCTCTTCTTTAACTATGCAACACCTAGCCAGTGTTGCGAAAGGGAAGAAAAGACTTACCAAGCAGTCAAGCATCCCCTCTCCTTCTTAGGCTCCTCTTGTGGCGGCGGTGGTCCTTGCTGGTAGTACATCTAATTCACAAACCGCGTCAGCCACACCCCAAATCACCGCAAACTTGCAATTGCACGTTATGATAATAGATGAGACTTACCGGTTGCTGAGGCGGTGGCCCATAGCCCGGCTGCGGAGGGCCATAGTAGCCAGGTTGTTGGGGAGCAGGGTAGCTCATGTCTGTTGTTTTGGTGTTGTAGACCTGACGTTAGAATAGAGATGCGGGCTCGTGGCTGGTGAAGCGTCTAGCTCGTGGTGTGGCAAGTGAAGAGAGGCTGGTGTTGAGGGTGTACTGTGGCAGAGGAGTGTGGCAGACGATATGTGTGGCACAGTAAAGTGGAACTTTTAGGGGGACCAACCCGTGTCTTTTAAGATTGCACGTCTTGACACGCCTGGCTATTGCTTTCGGCAAACGGCAACACCGGATCTGCGAGGTAAAGGGTGCGAGAGGCAATGCACGACCCAACGTGCTCATCGTAATTCACCGCGTCCATGCCGGTATACGTTCCGTACTTTTAGACGGCTGCGGGTGAGCTTTGCTCGGCGCCACATGTGTGGCAGTCAGGGCGCGTAGCTGTGGCATATGCTCGGGCTTGCTGAGGCATGAGTGGGACCAGGCAAGCCACCGCTGTGACGATGGACGCACGACCCTTGTCATACGCGTATGCAAAGTCTTGGTATGTAAGGCGCATGACTTGAGAGCGTTTCGTTCTGCGTGCGAAAGATAAGATTTACGCTGCTTTGCTACGTGGTGCGGTGTTGCAAGGATATCTGGTCAGAATGCGAGATATAGTAAAAAAACATCGTAGGCATACGTTTTCGATACTTCCTACCATGGATCCAGGAAAAGCGCGAGCTGAAATGACCTTTTCGTGAATGGCACATGTGAAGTGCTGTTGGGTTGCATATGCGAGCTTGCCGTCTGTTCCGGACGCTAGTGACCAATGTAGCTTAGTTGTGGCGCCACTTTTCAACAGGCAATATTAGACGGGCCAGTCAAGTGGCTCAGTCGTTCGTCCCCTTGGCATGACAGCAGCGACGAAGCTGGTGCTCTGACGATATCATGCCTACCAGATTTCTGCCACGAACCTACTTGTGAGGCCTGATACGAAGACGAAAACACCGCCAAGAGATCCGAAAGCTACTGTGGTATCGATGCCGGGGACCTTGGGCGGCGCGGATGCGTCCGGCGCCAAGTCAGCATGTACGCCGTCGGCGACCAAGTGGAGAGTCTGCGGTCCGAAAAGACTGTGGTTGGGAGCCGGCTTGGCGGTAAAAGGACTTTGAGGGCAGTCGACTAACCAACATGGCGACTTCTTGTGGCGCAGGTGAGGCGCAATCTCGTTACAAGCAATGGGATCCCAGGGTTGTCAGTACCAAACAAACGGATCGATCCGTATGACAGCTCGTCGTTCCGTAATGTTAGACGACGCGTGGCTTGGTAGACAAAGCAGACCAGCTGTTCGTAGAAGTCGTAGTGTGGAAGTCGAAAGGGGCGCACATGGATGATCTTTTGCTCGCTTGAACAGTAAATACGTTGCGTTATCGACTCCTTCGCGAGAGTAGCCACGACTGCCGTGATTGACAACCCTTGAGGTTACGGTACGTAGTCACCGGATTCCTATGCTTCCGCTGGCCGAGGTACAAAGCCCCGTTCGGCTCTTCGCTTCTGCACCCACTCGCCGAAGGGTTTCCAGATAGCCTCTTTCTCGGCCGGCTTCAAACTTGCCGCTAGACCGCTCGTACTCGTAGTGACAAAAACCCTGGACCCATTCCATACATTGCCATCGGCATCCTGCTCTTCCTTGCCATCTTCGCTTTTGCCCATGTTGTGCTCCTCATCCTGCCACCCATACTTGAAATCTTTCTTGCCCATGTTCTTTCCATAGCGATACCGCCAGATAGCTTCCCAGATACCCTTGCCTACTATGCACACAGCCTCTGGCTTGTATTTGAGGAACTTGGCATCCAGCTGTGCTGTACCGGCCGCAGTCTCCTCTTTCGAGAGCTCGGCAGCGTCTTTGGAGGGTCTCTCGACAATGTTGGTATTACCCATGCAATAAAGAGCAGGGAGACTCCGATCCTCCTCAGGTTTCAGTCGACGGTCGGTAAGTCCTGAGGAGTGGAGCAGCTTCCAGAATAGATTCGAGGGATGCGCATAAGCATGCCCTGCAGCGGCCGTCTGAACACCTGGGTTCGTGCCAACAAAGACACAGATCAGATTAGGCTCTAGTATATCGACCAGCGGCGACAGATGCGCGTATTTGGATGGGTCAGCATATTTGCTGGGTTTCCTCTTCTTCTTCGGTCGTGGGGAAGGTTCCGGTGTGATCTTTGCGGCCGCGGTCACAGTAGTCCTAGTACGCTTTCTAGGTTCTATCGACGATCCGGGTGGCGTTCCGGTACGCTGCTCCGTCCGCGTTTCGGAGTATTGGAACTTCTTCAGTCGGTCTTGGAAAGATGCAGATGATGGTGTCGCCAGCTGATAATCGGGTTCTCTGACATCGTCATCACTCAAAACTGGTGGAACTGCTTCAGCGTGTACGCTATGCCGCTGATTTGAGCGTGTGCGAGCCATGGGTGTTGCGGTGTGTCCCAGATATGAGAAGGAACGCGGTCATAGCAAGTCGCGTCCCCTCGAGATCCAGACGCGTTGACGTCATCGGACCCACTTCGCAGAGAGCCAATCGCTACCTGTGCACTCGAACAGCACCCACCGCGACGCAGCCTTCACGAGACCGTTCTCTGTATACGCATGCATTCATTTCGGAGATATTTACTAATGTACAATTGAGGCATACCCGCTCGTCCTTCTCTTGATACCTTTCATGGCCCTTGGCTGTACCTGGGTCCACCTCTTTGACAACCGTGAGTGTAGAGAAAGCCATACAGTATACATCTTCGTATGTACGCTAGATGGCGATGATGATGCTGTTGTATCTTGGCGGCATCGTCTCATTAAGCACATTTCAACTAAAACCCCCGGTCCAAAGCTGGTCGCAACAATGTTCTCTCTGCCTTCTCCCATTCTGCGAAGTTTGTCCAACACGATGAGCACGGTTGGGCTAGATGAGTTCCCATAGTTATGGTATACGTCGAGTGAGGCTCGGATGTGGTCGTCGTTGAGTTGGAGAGCTTGCTTGGCCCCCTGTAGAATGGTTGCACCGCCAGGATGGATAGCCCAATCGAAGTTCGAAGCAGGACTACGAGTCACCGATGCAGCGGCGTGAGTAGTATTGGAGGTGGCACGCAGTCGATCGAACAAGGGCAAGATGGCGTCGATGGCTGTGCCTGGAACGTGTTTGCTGATAGTAGCTATCATGCCTGCTAATAAATTAACATCAACTCAAAGCAACAGAAAGCAACACTGGACGTTACAGAAACATACCATGCTTCTCGATATCGTACGAGATATAGCTCGAAGTACCCGGCACAACTACACTGTCCCAATCTTTCAGCTCGAACACTGGCTTTTGCTTGTCTTCCAGCGCAAGACCGTTGCATACTGCTAGCGCCGCTGCGCCATCGGAGAATAGCGCTGGGGCTACGTGTAGCTTGTCGTCTTCACAGGCCGCTTGGAGCTCTGCCTGAATAGAGAGACTGCATATCTCACACGCCATCACCAGCACGCGGGCGTGCCGTCCTCTTTGTGATGCGGCAGCGGCGATGCTAGCAGCTGCACGAAGCGCTGATAGACCGCCTGCGCATCCCACGCCATGAAGTAGCACTCGTTGCACGTTTGGACCAAGCCCAAGCTCCTGGCATACAAAGAGATCATAGCCGGGGTTGCTCTGATCAGTGCAAGTCACTGCTACTGTGTGCGTTATGTCGCTGGGCTCAAGGCAAGCTTCTCGCATAGCCTCTTTGCAGGCCAAGGTGGCAAGCTGCACACCTTCTGTCCGGAACATTCGGGAGATGGAGTCGGCATCCGGCGGTGCAGTGTTCTCTTTGGTCCATCCTGCGTAGTCGAGGATAGTTGGGCGGGACACGATCTTGGTTTTCTTGTTGAACTGGATGAGCTTCTGGACACTGGCGAGGCTATTAGCATTGGACGAATAGTTCCTATGGAGGACACTGGATGACTGACGCTGGTGAAGTTACTTCATCGGGGCACAAGCGCTGCAAGAAGTCCTCAAACTGCTCCTGTCTTACCGAATGGGGCGGGTACTCATGGCCCAGGCCAATGATGTATATAGCATTGTTCTTGCTACTGCGTGACATACCGTTCACTGAAGACATCTTCCCCTTGGATCAAAACCAACTGCGACACGGAGGGCGTAAGCTTATCACTCTCTACCCCCTTACACCCGTCTCGTCGCCCCATAGCAGATGCGCTCTTCGCACCTACACCCATTCGCAATGTGTAGTCCAGACTCCGCCACTCTTGAC